TTTTATTTCACTTTACTCAATACATTTGTTTTACCAAATAAGATTTTTATTAATTGTTCCAACAATAGTTTGCTATCCAACAAGTCTTTCTTAACAGTGTCAGTTAAAATCATAAATTGCCCCGGAAAGCTTGATGTTATGGTAAAAAAGTCTGATGCAAACGTCCTGAAGTCATGGTGATATTTGAAAAAAGTTTCTATCCATTAACCCACCTCATCCTAAAAAGCAAAAAGCACCTTAAAAAACTAGAATGACACTCAGTAAACTGCAAACCTCCACCAAGGGCCAACACAATCCTAATGAAACTCAATTTAAATCGGAATTGGACACACTCACAAATACTTGTCCTAAGAATAAGTTGGGTTCGTTTTCATTAAGATCTGCCCCCTGATCCAAACCTGCACCAAAATGCTTTCTCCTCACTCACACCGTGTCCTTCCACCAAGTTCCGTGGTAATCCCTCCAGTAGTTTTTGCATAACAACAAACATAACCTCTTGGCGGCGGTAATGAAAAAGTCTGATTATTCTGCTGTATTCTGAAAAGCATCACAGAGACATGGAAAGAATCGATGTATCAACTGCTCGCAAATTTCAATTTATAATTGTTAAGTCGTGCTATGTGCACACAGATTGAGGAGAATGAGCTGCGGAGAATCACACCCCAGAGGAATCCCTGAAAAGCTCCACTTTTAAAAAAGAACAAAGTGTCTTCAAATTATTTTACAAGACTCCTAGTAATTCACAGAAAGAGCAGTCGTGTTAGTTCATTAAAAACTTAGATTCTTGCTCCTGGTTCTCTCCCTCATCCTGTATATTTTTATCTTTAATTGAATCAATACCCGCTCATTGAAAGCTAATTAGTAAAGTTCTTCAAGTGGAGGAAATGCGAATGAAGACATAGCACACATTTCTTGCACACACATGTACAGTACACACACTGACCCACACATAGACCCACACACAGACACACAGACACACAGACACACACACACACACACACACACACACACACACACACACACACACACACACACAGCTTTTAAGTGGAAATAAAAACTGCTGGGCTTTAAATGGACAGTTTTGTCTTTGATCCCATCAACTGTGTTCTGGGAAAAGGGAGAACAAACACATGGGGATGAAACACAGTGAAGACTTATTAGTGGGCCAGCCCTTTGAAATGCTGCTTTCTAAATGAAGGGTGAAAAGTTTGTTTTTCCGACAGTAAATGTTTTAGCTAATGGTTCATTAATGAGTCAATGAGGGACTTGTTTCTTCTGTATCTTCTACTGCTCAGTTTATTGGCGGGTGGCAACCGACATCGAGCTGTAATACCACCATCTACTCTGTCTTCTTCTTCTCTGCTCGGCCCACCAGATACTCTGTTTCTGGACCTGCTGGGATTCTCTGACACATTTTCACAGACGCCAATAATATGATATGAACCTGGTCAAGACAATAGTCTGAATAGGACACTGCCATGTTAACATCATTTTCAGATTTATCTTAATCCTGTAACATGTAAAAGAGAATATGAACAGAATATGTCCTTTTAAAGATAATCAATGCTTGCTGCTGGCTGGGTGTGGCTTCATCTGTAACTTATTTTTACTTCAGTATTTAATGACCAGCTCAACCACTACTCCTCTGCCAGATCATTGAATACCCTGTGGTATTAACGCCTTGGCCAGATTTGGCCTAATCTCAAGATTTTGGAAAAGCTTGTTATTTCTTTTTTTTGTTCTCGCCCAAGAACCCTGGAATCTACTCTGATCAGGATCACCTGCGTTATCTGAGTTCGTCTGCCACACTCAGACAGCAGCTCAGCCACACTAACCCTCTGGACTCACTATCTGTCTGAGAAAATCTGGTTCACTTAAAACTCTCTGGTGGATTCAGCCCTATTTGCAATATCACTCTGCGCAGTCTCTCTCTTTCTTTGTGTCTCAGCCTCTATAGTTTGTGATAGAATCAAAACTAAACTCAAACCTTTTTAAGGTCAACATTACAATAAAAAGCATTCCATCTTGTTCTCTCTTAAAGAACATTTATTTTGTGTTCTTAATATCAAGCTGACAGTGAAGAAATGACAGGTGAGGAGATGGGAGATAAAGACGGAGAGGACATTGACGAAGGATCTATGGTTGTAAGCAAAGGGTGGATGTTGTTGGCAGGAGTATTTCAAGGAACCAAAAAGGACCCAGGGGTCTTACATCAAAACCAAACCGAGGCCCCAGACATAAAATAGACGTTCTAGTCTTCCACCAAACTCTAAACAGTGCTATGAGAAATAGGGGTCCAGAGGATGCAGCACCCCCTGTTGGAAACATCACAGAAGATGTAAAAACAAATTTTTTGTATTTAGACATTTTTTAATTACTTTTCCTAATATCATTTACTTCAATAATGATTGCCGTGGGAAGTTTTGTGAAATACTTAAATACTGAATAATTATTATAAGTAGCTCCCAATAGCACAGAAACTAATTTGGGGATTCAGTGACTTTATTTCCGCAACCACTGAGCCCCAGGCCACATTTGGAGTGATACTGTATAAATGAAGCACCTAGCTCAAGGTAAAGTGTTTGCTTAATCATGACCTGTCACAGAGCACTTTCACATTATCATTAACTAGTAGTTTCACTCTGATACTTTGTCTGTAAAAATGTATTTGGCTATGTTGTTGTGTGGTGTGTAAATGGGGCAGTTGGAGTATTATGCATAAGTGGATGTGTTCTTGTCCGCTGCGTGTGACAGCCTTTTCAACCTGATTAACTATGTTTTGGCTGGGGTCACCGTCTGGCAGTTGCAAGACTGGCTTTGATTCATATTCATATCATATCAGCCTGTTGCTTTAGAATGTGGCATGGACAGAATTTGTACAGAAAAAGGTTTTCACTGAAACTCGTTAAATAAAAATGATGTGTATGAAAATATGAAGCTGCCTATAGCCTATTCTTAACCCCAGGCTGAACAAAGCAGAAAAATCCCAACCCCAACTTAAAGCCTCTTCCCATGGCCCTGCCTCTAGAGGAAGCTTTTGACAGAAAACCAGTGGCACTGGGTTTTATTATGATGTTTCCAACCTTGGTATCATTGCAGTCTCATATAACCGATAGTAAAACTTTAAGGGGGTTCTCACAAAATTGTTATAGTTGTTCTGTTTTTTTTAAGATGTTGTATTTTATTAAAAAAAAAGCCCATTAAAAAAAGCCCACAAAAATGACCATGATTTCCGCCACATACCACCCACAGTATGAAGACTGTAAATATCTCACTTTACTTCAGAGTCTACTTTGCTGCTGTCACATTTTATTACTCCTACTGAAATCAATAGATCCGAAGGTGCTTCTCAGTGACTTGTGAGCTGTTACAGTTGCCCTTATAAATCCTATCTTTATTTAATATGCCGTATATCCCTGTAGTGATGGATGCAGCAGGAGGAGTTTGTATCATACATTACAGTCTCCTGGACATTCACTGAGAAGGAACCAGATATCTTTATTGCCTCTCAAATTTAAACACTTAAAAGATCCAACTTTCAGCCCCTCCCAGTTTGTAAAGCACGGATCGAGTGCTCTGTTATCATATCTACAAGGCAAAGGCATATAACCCTCAAGACAAGCTACTAACACAAGAACATGGACATTTGC